CCTATTCATCCACCGTTTGAGGATGGGACGGACAGCCTCGATGGTCCTCAGGCCGGCCGACGGGCTCATCAACCTCGCCCGCCATTCGATCCTGAGGATCCGCCGAGAGTCGGACCTCCGCGCTTCAATCTCGTGACCAGCGGGTGCCTCCCCCATGGAACGTCGCTCCGCGCGCCAGTGATACACTGACGCGTGGAGCTCCGCTACCAAGTCCCACGGAGGAGACCCCGCCAGCAGACCCGCCGCCTCCCCGGATATGGTGCGGTAGCCTCTTATGGCCCGTATGGCCATGACCCTGTGTGGCCTGTTGAGGCAGGCCACATTTTCCCTACCTAGGGCCCCCACCCAGATGGGGGCCCCGTACAGGGCCATGGACCGCACCACGCCGAGGTATAGGCGGCGGGAACCTTCTCCCGGGCCCCTCACATTTGGCAGCAGCCAGCTAAGAGCGCCGGCGGCTGCCATGAGGCGAGGGACCAGGTTCCGGAAATGAGCGCGGAAGCTCCAACGGCTGTCCAGGTCAAGCCCCAAGTATCGAATACAGGGCTTGACCCCCACCCTCTGGCCACTGACGACCAGCTGGGCATCCGGAGGTGGCGCGCGCCGAGGCCCATGAAAACATAGGACCTCGGTCTTCTCCAGCGCCACCTGGAGCCCAAGCCTCCTTATTCGGCCGACGACCAGCGCCACGCTTGCCGTGGCAAAGCGGGTAGCCTCCCGTAGGTCCCGCCCCCGGGCAGTGACCAAGGTGTCATCCGCGTAACACACGAGGTCAGTGCCCGTTAAAAGGGCGCCCCGCAGGTTCCAATCATACCCGATGTTCCACAGGATCGGGCCCAGAACCGATCCCTGTGGAACACCGCGTTGCATGTCCCTCAGCACTACAACGCCGTTCCGCCCCGTGCAGAGCACAGACCTGTCCTCGAGGTAGGCCCCGATCACGTCCCGAATATAGGGAGGCGCGCGATGGTATTTCAGCGCCTCCCTAATAGTCGCAAAGGGCAGGGTGTTGAAGGCGTTCTTTATGTCCAACGAGACCGCCAACAACACCCCACCCTGGGACGTCGCCTCTTCCGAGAGGGAGCGCACACGCGAGATCGCGTCGATCGTCGAGCGCCCCTCTCGGAACCCGAACTGCTTCGGGCTGAGATCGGGACCTACCTGGGACAGGTGTTGGACGAGTCGGCCCGCCAAGATTCGCTCGAAGAGCTTGCCGATCTCGTCCAACAGCACTATGGGGCGGAACGCCGAGGGAACCACCGAACCTGCAGGGTGCTCCGCTTTGCGGAGCAGGACCACTCTACCCGCTTTCCACTGATTGGGAAACCGTCCCGACTCCAGACACGCGTTAAACAAGCGCCGGAGTCGGTCCCCTAGGGTGTTTAGGGCCAAGGCCAGGACGCGGCCGTGGATACCATCCGGACCCGGGGCGACATTCTTGCCCCGGAGTTTATCCACGGCCGCGGCGAACTCCTCCTCGGTGATGATAGGAACCGCAGCAGCGCTGACGCCGCTGGCTTCTTCATCACTGCCACGCGGCGTCATCGGAGGAGGTGTGAAGGGAGGCTGTCTCGGGAACAGCTCCTCCAACACCCCCTCCAGCTGCTGCGGCTGGAGACCCTCTGCCACGGGGGGCGCCCAGGGGCGTAGTTTGCCCCTGACGAACCTATAAGGACGCCCCCATGGATCCCTGTCCAGGGTCTCCAGGAGTTCTTCCCTGGCTGCCTCCTTGGCCCTGCTGATGGACAGCTGCAGAGCTTTCTTCCTCTCTTTGTACTGCTCGTACAGCTGTGCTTCCTCGTCGGCGTCGCGGCCCCGCCTGAGTCGGCGGTGCCTGGTGTACCGGCGGCGGGCGGCGGAGCACTCCTCCCTCAACGCCGCTATCTCCTCCGACCACCAGTACACCTGACGCCTAGGAGGTCGAGGGCCGGCTCGGGGCATCGCCGCGTCGCAAATGTGCGACAGAGCCTCGCCGAACCAGCCCACCTCTGCGTCGACCTCCACAGGCCCCTCCGGTATGGGAACCCAGGCCTGGACGATGGAAGCCTCCATCAGCACGTCTTTATTCAGACGTTTCAACACCCATCTGGGGAGTTGTGGGACATTCCTCTCCTGGCGACCGGGGTGCGGAGCTACGGGTGAGGGGAGAACATCTATCCGAATATACCGATGATCGGATAGAGTCTCCACCTCATCCAACACCTGCCAGCTCCGCACCCTCTGTGCGATCGCTGGACTGCAGAGGGATACGTCGACATGCGACTCCCCCTGCTGTCTCACGCACGTGGCGGCCGACCCTCGGTTCAACACCACCAGGCCGGCCGCGGCCGCCCAGTCTTCCAGGACCCTGCCTCGAGAGTCGGTGATGGGGGAGCCCCATGCCGTGGATTTGGCATTGAAGTCCCCCATCACCATCATTGGACGGGCCGAGTATAGCTCCAGAGCGGCCCCCAGCCCGTCCATGAACTGCTCGAACTCGGCGAGAGTCCTGTTCGGAGAGAAGTATGTCCCGACAACGACGGTTTCCCCCCAACTCACACCTATGTACCCCGCTCCGCCGAATAGGCGGCTGACGAGCGGGGTCGCGGGGTTGCCCGCGCCGACAATGGCCACCAGGCCAGAGGGGTCGCCGAACCAATGGTCACTTCGTGGGACACGATATGGTTCGGCGACCACTGCAAGGTCAACTCCCCACTGCGCCGCGCTCTGCAGAAGCAGATCTTGGGCGCGCGCGCAGTGGTTGAGATTCCCCTGCAGGAGGCGATGGACTGCCATTATTGACCGGTGTCCATCACCTCAGCCTCTCCCCGGCGGCCATTGCCGCGGGCCGACGACAGTGCGGATCCCCTCGATCTCTTGGACCGGGACTGGGGGCACTTTTTGGCCCCCACCCGGTGGTCTGCTGGGCGACCCGCCGCTGCGCAAACTACGCAGTGTGGGGCCGCCGAACATCCGGCCGCTTTGTGGCCGGGAACCCCACACCGGTAGCACAAGCCACTCCGGTCCTCCTCGTGCGAGCACCTGGCCAGCACGTGCCCGCTTTCGAGGCACCGGAAACACCGGAGTGGCTTCTGCCGCAGCAGTTCCACAGCGGCTGAGACCCAGCCGATCCGGATCCGCCCTGCCGTCGTCACTTTCTTGACCGCGGCCAATGGGGCCCGCACCCAGCAGGTGCCCAGGCCCGACGCGCCGCGCCGAATCTCCCCGACATTGACGGCGTCCGCCGTGCACTCGCCGTGCTGTGCCACGGCGGCCGCCACCTCTTCCCGGTCGGTACCGTCATCCAGGCCCATGACCCTCATCTCTGCGGTCTTGGTGGGCCTGGCGATGCGGACCGTACCTTCCGGGAAGACGTCCCGGAACTTCGACGCGAGCGCGTCGGCCTGGTCTCCCGTCTGGGACCCTGGGATCTCCAGGATCCGGGCCCCAGTAGCCGCGGTTTGAAGCGCAGGCTTCCTATCCCCAAGGAGGCGAGGTCGATCTTATCCTTCGCCTCCTTGAGGACAGCGGAGTAAGTTACTCCCGCCGCTTCTGCCTCCGGACACAATGTAACGACCACAGCCGCCGATCGCGGCGCACGCAACTTCGATGGCGACGGCGGGGCCGGCTTAGCCTTCTTCCCCTGAGAGGGAGCCCCAGAGGTCCTCTGAGTACTCTGGGTCTGCCTCTCAGAGACGTTGCGGTTTTTGCCGCCCCGTCGCACCACCGTGCTCCAACCTTCGTTTGCGCGCCCCGCGCCCGACGGCCCCGGCCGTTGACTGCCAGAGGCAGGCCGGCTGGCGGGTTGACTCGCCGGAAGCGGCGGGAATTCCGCACCTCGCGCCCCCCGCAGATGGGGAGCGTCTCTGTAGCCCGGTCCCCCTGCACCGGGGAGCCGGGACAATAACTCGTACTGCCCGTCGCTTCGCAGCGGCGGGCGGTGTTCAGGGCGGATTGATGCCGCCGGGGAGCTGATGCCCAGGGCAGCCTTGATTTCCCGGATGCCCTTCTCTATTTGGGCACCGATACGGGCATCAATCAGCTCCCCGGTCGCCCTCATAATATCCGCCCTGAAGGCCCCGACTTCATCCGGCTCGGGGTCGGGCCAGGGGGGTGCCCTCACCCTCGCAGGCTCCTGTGGTGCCTGGCAAGCGGCTGAAGGGGTTTGCGGCCCCGACCTCGCCGCGAGTTGCCGCATCTGCGCTTGGAGCGCCTGGAGTTGGCTTCGGAGCTCCTTATTCTCCTTACGGAGCTCCTCCACCTGTCGTTCCAACTTCCGGCGCTCGACGGCACCCGCGGTGAAGTCCTTGTTGACGACGGCACTGCTGTCCAGCTCCTCTGCCATCATCAACACGGAGCCGATGGACTCCTTCAGCCGCTTCTGGTCGGCCCCCTTCAGGTTCCCACACCTGTAGACCGTCTCCAAGGCAGCCCCCAGCTTCTTCTGGGCCTCCGTCCTGAAGACGGCAACAGGCTGCAGGTCATCCATCGGGGGGGCCTTCCCCTTCTCCACAGGGACCCCCGAGGGACGGACAAACGTCCCGTCATCTCCCCGTTTCTCCTGCCGCCGGGACTTCGGCGACCTGGCCGGACTCTCCGGGCCCACAGGCACCTTCAGAACCACCCCGGTCCCGGGCGACGGGCAGGGGATCTTCGACGGCTTGGCACTCCCGCCCGCCGCCCCGGAAGGGCCCGGTCCATCCGCGTGCGGCCGCTTCGGCACGGCCGTTTTCGTGAGCCCGTCTTCGATCGACACCAGGCACCCGGACATCTCGTCCTCCACCAGCATCGAGCGCGTCGAGCGCGTAGAGCGCGTCGACGACGCTGAGGAAGGCCGAGACGCCAGCGACCTGGCACTCGAGACGGGCCGCGACCTCGCCGACCGCACCGTGTCGGCGTCCGCTAGCGTGATGGAGTCCGACATGGACCAAAACGCTAAGTCCCGGGGCAGGGACAAACACTCCTCGTCCCCCCGGCGGGGGACGGGAAAAGGAAGGGGCTGCTACCACCAGCCAACTTCCTCAACCCGACAACAAAGGGGTCACGCCCGACCTAAGTCGGGCGGGTACAATGGAGGCTTGCGCCTCCACAAACTGCTCCAGGGTTTCCCCTGGAGCGGGCGCACTAGGCAGAGTTAACCCCTGCACAGTGCAGCCGCTCCCGGTGAACACCACTAACCTCAGCACAATAAAATAAAAACGAAACAAAACAAGAATCAAACTTAACCTAACTTAACCTAACTATATGTACAGAACCTAACCTAACTATATATACAAATACCATTAAAAGAAAAAACAAACAAACAAGGAAAGACAAACAAACAAAACAACAAAAAAACAAAAATGTGCCAAAAATCAAAAAAACCTGGAACGCTTCACGATTTTGCCAATCCTTGCGCAACTAAGCTTCTCTGTAACGTTCCAAGTATAACCTAACCTAACCTAACCTAACCTAACCTTTTTTTTTTTTTTTTTTTTTTACGTCAGGAAAATCCATCATGGAGAACCATTCCCTTAGGGAGGAATGGATACTGCCGGACTCCTACCTGCTAAAAACCTGACGACTATTCCTCCTTGAATCATATCGCCCGGGCCATGGGAACGCAAAGCATTCGCCCAAGACCCCGGCATGGTACCCATCGAAGGGACCTCCATCTAGGCGTGCAGGGAATAGTGTCTGCACGCCACCGCCAGACCCTAAAACCTCCCCGGCGAGCTTCGGATTGCCCTAACAATCCTCCACCCTAGGGTCAATTTTGGAGTCGATGCACACCTGATTTTACTCAAGCGTCCATCGACTCCCCCCCCACCTGTGGCCCGCGCCGCGGCTCGGGCCTTAGGCGGGCGACACAAATTAGTGACGCCCACTCTATGGTCGGATTTCCGACCCGCCGCGGCACAGTACCGACAGTTCGGTGATGGCGCGGCGCACCGTGCGGCCTTATGGCCGGGCTCGCTGCAGCGGAAACAGATTCCGCTGCAGTCTTCCCCGGCGGTGCATCGGACGCCCACATGGCCTGTAAGAAGGCACCGATAACACCGCTGAGGTCGCGGGTCCAGAGCCTGTACCCGCGCCATCACCCACCCGATCCTAAGCCGGCCGGCCTCGGCCAACTTCTTAGCGGCGGCCACTGGGCACCGCACCCACACGGAGCCCGTACCCTGGGAGTTGCGCCGGATTTCCCCGGTTTTAACCGCGGACTCCAGGCAACCCCCCTCGCGCATCACGGCGACGACAACGTCAGCCACCAGTGTCGAGTCGTCCAGGTCTCCGATCCTCAGTTCGGCCGACTTAACTGGCCTGGAGACCCGGACGACGTCCTCGGGCAGGACCTCCTCGATCCTGGCGGCTAACGCGTCTGCCGCCTCGCCTGTGTTCGCGCCGGGTATTTCTAAAATACGGGCTCCGGTCCTTCCCACGCGGAACCTCAGGTCGGTGATACCGAGCTGGGCCAAGGAAATCTTGGCCTTCGCCTCGGTGAGCACCGACCCATAGGTGACGCCCCTCTCCTCGGCTCCCGGCCTCATGGTCAGGACGACCGCCGACGATCGAGGGGGGCGTGCCTTCACCTTCCGCGCGGAAGGCTTCCGCTGCGGTTCCTCTTTATGGCCGCCGCTTGGCGCCTTCGTTGGTCGCGCGCTGGTGGGACCTGTCTGGCTTGCGCCAGCACCTTTGCGCTTCCCGCGCCTCACAACCGTCGCCCAGCCCTCCTTGTTTGCTCCGGACGTCGACGGTTGAGAGGCACGTCCTCCACTGGGCTCCCCGGTCTGCGAGGTCCCACCAGCCACCGTGCCGGATGATCCGGCGGCGGGCGCACTCTTCGCGGCCTTCTGAACCCGCGTTCGCTTCACCGAGATCCGCTCCTCCATCTCGGCGAAGCGGATGTTCATGAGCTCGCCCACTCGCCGGATGATCCGGTCCTCAGCGTGCTCGGGCACGGTCTGGGGCGTGATACCCTCCGGCACTTCCGCCGTCGCCCCGGTGATCACCACTGGCGGGAGTTGCGCGGCGGTTTCCGCCTCCTCCAGCCTTCGCAAAGCCTTTTGCAGGGCTACACGGTCTAGAGCGCTTGACTTCTTTAGGTCTTCCAGTTGTCTGGCGCTCTCCCGTGCCTGCCGCTGCCACTCCTCCCTCTCCGTCTTCATCAGCTCGAGTTGTTCCGCCAATGAAGCGAAGGAACTGGCCTTCACCCGGAGGGCGACCAACTCGCGCCTCTCCTTCAGGCCCTCCTGGACCGCCGCATTTGACAGCTGCTGGGCCTCGTCCAGCTCAACACGCAGCATGGCGACCTGCCTCGTGAGGGCCATTACCTCCGCGCTGGTCGACCGCTCTTTGAGGACATCGGACGCCGAACGGATGGCAGAGACGGCGTCCTTTACGTCCTTTACAATGGTGCCCTTCAGGTTGCCGGACTTCTTTATGGCGGCGAGTACCTGAAGTGCACTGTCCTCTATTTTGGCGCCCAGCTCATCGGCGCGCAACGACTCGTCCGCAGTTGATCGGCGGACGGCAGTCCTCGACGCGGAGACGGACCTGGAGGATCCGGCCGAGGCCGAACCCTCTGTCTCCATGCGGGAGGCTGGCCTGCGCTTCCCCTTCCCACCTATCTTCGGGATCGCAGCCCGCTCCACCTGCACCACTTCGACGTCGTCGTCGGAGTCAAGGTGTTGTGACTTCTCGACGACACGCCTCTTACGCCTAAGCCTTTTGGGCGACGTGCTCACCCTCAGGCAGTCCTCCGTCGTTACCGACAGGGAGTTGCGGCAGTCCTCCGACGCAACCGACAGTCCGGACTCCGTACACTCGGAGTCCATGCCGGCCACGTGGATTTCCAGCTCCTCAATCCCCTGTACGGCCTCGACGCACCTCATGACCTCTTTCTCCCACTCCCTCCTACGACTGAGCGTGTCCCCCCCAGAAGACGCGGGACAGCCCACCCCCGGCAAATCCGGTGCGGTGGGGGAGGATTCTCCGGCCGCAGAGCGACCGGTACCTCCCTGGGGTACTTTTTTATTTCGTTCAGCCATCGTCATTTTGTTCCTTTTTACGGGTGTGGTCCCGGACTCCTACCTACAGCGAAACAGAAAAAGAAAGAAAACCAAAAAGGACAGAAAAGACAAAAGACAGACAAAGACAGATAAAAACCTAAGACAAACTAAAACCAAATAAATAAAAACACAAAACAAAAAGAAGAAAAACCAAACAAAACAAAAGAAGGAGAAACAAACAAAAAGAAGACTAAAAGAAAAGTTGGGCGGGTTCCTAACTCCGGGATCCTCGACTTTGTCGAGGCATAGGAATCCTAAACCCGCCCAACCTGCCGGGCTACTGGCCGACATAGTAGCCGTATCCCGAAGGAACGACTACTATCCCGCCCGGGGCGTACCAGAACCAAACCATTGCTCGGCCACCGTTCCCCGCGGACGTATCCACGAGGATGGGGAAGCCTCCCAATGGCAGGCCCATACTAGGAGGTTGCCCGACCCACGCCCCAACCTAACCTAACCTTTTTTTTTTTTTTTTTTTTTTTTTTTTTTTTTAACGTGTGGAAAATCTTCAAAAGACCGTCACCTCGCCGGAGGGATGGCGAGGTGGTGTGTGAGACTTGACTCACTAAAAACCACACGGTGTACCTACGAGCGCCTATGCCGGAGCCAGGGGATTCGCAATGCATTCTACCCCAGCTCCGACGGCGACGGCCCGCCCTGTAGATGTTGTAGGGCAGGCCCCATCTCGTTTTGTGGTTAGGGCGACCTATTTCGCCCTACTTCCATTGTGGAGGCGTGTGGGTACACGCGCACACCTCCGGGGCCTTTGGATTGGGGGGGCTGCCTCCCTCAAGGCAGTCACCCCGGCCCCAGTGGGGGATAGAGGGGGCGGAGTTGGGTACGCCCCCACCTCTAGGCCTGGCTCTTCTGCGGCGGAGGGAAGCGGGACGAGCCCACTCCCGTTCCTTTCCGCCGCCTCCTTCCGCGAGATAACTTCCTCGCAGAAGGAGCTCACCGCCAGCCACGATCTCTCGCTACTGATCATCCTCCGAACTAAATTCGGCAGCGAGAGATCGTCCCCCACTATCCTCCGTGTGAGGACACGGCGCTCACTCTCGAACGCTGGACATTCGTCCAGCGTGTGTTGCGCCGTGTCCTCCACACCTCCGCACTCGTGGCAGCCGGTCGTCGGCTCCTTCCTCGCCACATGACACAGATACCGCCCGAAGCACCCGTGCCCGGACAGTATCTGTGTCATGCGGTACGTCAGTGGCCATCTCCTATTCATCCATCTTTTGAGGATGGGACGGACAGCCTCGACGGTCCTCAGGCCGGCCGATGGACTGGCCAGCCTTTCTCTCCACCTGATCCTGAGGATCCGCCGAAAGTCGGACCTCCGCGCTCCAATCTCATCGGCCAGCGGGTGCCTCCCCATGGAACGCCGCTCCGCGCGCCAGTGATACACTGACGCGTGGAGCTCCGCTACCAAGTCCCACGGAGGAGACCCCGCCAGCAGACCCGCCGCTTCCCCGGATATGGTGCGGTAGCCTCTTATGGCCCGTATGGCCATGACCCTGTGTGGCCTGTTGAGACAGGCCACATTTTCCCCGCCTACCAAGGGCCCCCACCCAGATGGGGGCCCGTACAGGGCCATGGACCGCACCACGCCGAGGTATAGGCGGCGGGAACCTTCTCCCGGGCCCCTCACGTTTGGCAGCAGCCAGCTAAGAGCGCCGGCGGCTGCCATAAGGCGAGGGACCAGGTTCCGGAAATGAGCGCGGAAGCAACCTAACCTAACCTAACCTAACCTAACCTAACCTTTTTTTTTTTTTTTTTTTTTTTTAACGTGTGGAAAATATTCAAAAGACCGTCACCACGCCGGAGGGATGGCGAGGTGGTGTGTGAGACTTGACTCACTAAAAACCACACGGTGTACCTACGAGCGCCTATGCCGGAGCCAGGGGATTCGCAAGTGCATTCTACCCCAGCTCCGACGGCGACGGCCCGCCCTGTAGATGTTGTAGGGCAGGCCCCATCTCGTTTTGTGGTTAGGGCGACCTATTTCGCCCTACTCCATTGTGGAGGCGTGTGGGTACACGCGCACACCTCCGGGGCCTTTGGATTGGGGGACTGCCTCCCTCAAGGCAGTCACCCCGGCCCCAGTGGGGGATAGAGGGGGGCGGAGTTGGATACGCTCCCACCTCTAGGCCTGGCTCTTCTGCGGCGGAGGGAAGCGGGACGAGCTGACTCCCGCTCCCTTTCCGCCGCCTCCTTCCGCGAGATAACTTCCTCGCAGAAGGAGCTCACCGCCAGCCACGATCTCTCGCTACTGACCATCCTCCGAACTAAATTCGGCAGCGAGAGATCGTCCCCCACTATTCGTGTGAGGACACGGCGCTCACTCTCGAACGCTGGACATTCGTCCAGCGTGTGTTGCGCCGTGTCCTCCACACCTCCGCACTCGTGGCAGCCGGTCGTCGGCTCCTTCTTCGCCACATGACACAGATACCGCCCGAAGCACCCGTGCGGACAGTATCTGCGTCATGCGGTACGTCAGTGGCCATCTCCTATTCATCCACCTTTTGAGGATGGGACGGACAGCCTCGACGGTCCTCAGGCCGGCCGATGGACTGGCCAGCCTTTCTCTCCACCTGATCCTGAGGATCCGCCGAAAGTCGGACCTCCGCGCTCCAATCTCGTGGCCAGCGGGTGCCTCCCCCATGGAACGTCGCTCCGCGCGCAGTGATACACTGACGCGTGGAGCTCCGCTACCAAGTCCCACGGAGGAGACCCCGCCAGCAGACCCGCCGCTTCCCCGGATATGGTGCGGTAGCCTCTTATGGCCCGTATGGCCATGACCCTGTGTGGCCTGTTAAGGCAGGCCACATTTTCCCTACCTAGGGCCCCCACCCAGATGGGGGCTCCGTACAGGGCCATGGACCGCACCACGCCGAGGTATAGGCGGCGGGAAC